TACATGTTAGATTGAACAACTTTCAAATATTTTTCACTTTCATTAAATGTTATCTTTGTCAAAAATAAAAATTTAAAAACCAAAAGTCCCATTTACAGGTACTGTTTGGATTATTGTCACACAGTTTTTGTAACCTATGGTAATATTTTGTTTTACATGGAACTTTTTTTGTTCCAGAATGCCCTTATGGGTTTTTCGGAGAGTCATGTAAGAGCTTGTGTTACTGTGAGGACAGTTGCTCCTGTAACCACATAAATGGGGAGTGCAATATTACAGCTGATGTGGATGCTGACTTATTACAAGGTAAGATAAGATACCTTTTCTCTTCTCTATGTGTGTGTGTGTGTGTGTGTGTGTGTGTGTGTGTGTCACTATGTTCATGTGTGTTGGGTATGTGTATTTTTGAACCTCTGTGTGTTTGTGTGTGTGTGTGTGTGTGTGTGTGTGTGTGTGTGTGTGTGTGTGTGTGTGTGAGAGAGAGAGAGAGAGAGACTCTGTCTGTTTGTGTGTGTGTAAGAGAGAGAGAGAGAGAGAGAGAAAGAGAGAGACAGTAATTATCTCATTATAAATCATATTATTTGTTTGTTTTATAGTTGGAACCTGTCTTGCTGAATCTCGTATTCGAAGGGAACATTTAGTGAAAGATCAGTCAGAGCAGCTGAGGTAGGTGTTTGTATTTATTTTAAAGATATACATTTACCTGCTGTGTCCAAAGATATTCTAATGATACATGTACCTTTACAGATTGCTTTCAAGATCACAAGCTTTTAGTTCAGAGAATGTTGACAAGGGATTATTCTTGAGTTCATGAAGAAGAGAATTCACATACTGAATAAAGTAGTTTTTGTATAGATGGACAATTTCTTGTATTTTGTTGGCCAATTTTTTTTTTAAAAGACTTTTTAAAAATCTGTATCACTATTTATCTTGCTTAATGTGAATTGTTTCAGTACCACTTATCTTTATTTTTATCTTAATTTTTTTTTGTATAATATTAGTGATGATGCCTGTCTCACTGTCTAATTTTTTATATCCCTTGTGCCATTTCATTGTTCACTGTCTTGTTTATTTATTTTTTCATTTGTTTATTTATTCAATTTGATATCCTTGCTCTTTTTTTTCCAGTCAGCTTCTGCTTAGCGTAGTCATCCTTTCCATCCTAGCTGCCACCAGCATCGTCATCAACATATCTCAGGTTTGCTTTTATGCAGTATGCAAAAAGACTAAGACTTATAAATACCATAAGCTTAGGCGTATACCCAAAGACTACTACATGGACAGTGAGGATGGGGATGATGAGGAAGAGGAGGTTGAGGAGGATGAGGATGAGGAACTGGATGAGAGTGTCACAGAGACTTCTTTTTTAACTGGAGGTTCAAAGTTCAATCATAATCCCAAGTCATGAAAGCCAGTTTCAAAGATTCAGATTGAGAGGAGGAAAAAAAAAGTTCAGTTCAGAATCCATTGCAATCTGCTGTTTCATTGAGATTGACTTTTTCTTTTCCATGTAATTTTTATAATTTTTAAAAAGCAAAACAGAGATTTTAAAATTTAATAAGTTATGTTGAGACGAGCTTTGATATATAATTAATGAGTCCACGTATGACGCAATGCTTATTTGCCACGTGTATGTTTCTCCTACAAATTCAGTATCATTGTACACACCATGTAAATGTAGGTATATGTGGGCAAATGAGAATACAAAACACTGCAAAAATATCATTTACAATTTTCATCTCATCATGGTAATAGTGCATGTCCAAATCATCTAGAAATCCAAGTAAATTTTCAGTTAATATTTGACATAAGAAAATTCATGTTGTTCAGGAGTTTCATATGAAAGATACAGCACTAAAATGTGCTTGTCAGGCTAATTACTTTGAAGGCACTGTGAAAATTATTTAAATTTCCATATTAAAATTATATTAGTGATCCACTTTCCATTCTTTATAATATTTTCTGATTATGATGCTAATTCATTTAAGTGCAATATTTTATGAAATAGTGGTACTTGTTGTATGCTGTGGTTGCATCTGGCAGTTTTTAATTATAAATCATTATTGGAGTTACAGACTGCTGTTAAATATAATAGTCTAATTTTATATTCCAGGAAAGCCAGTTGTGAAATTCATTTTTTCTGAATCAATTTTTATGGTGCAAGGTCTCAGCACATTACACACAAAGAAATTTTTCTTTTTGTTTTACGTATCTTGTCTTAGAATTTTTCTTAACGAGTCATGTTACGTTGTCTTCTGGTATTTTTATTTTTATGTCATGATTAAACGAATTCATACCAGACATGAGCTTTTTCTGTGGAAAAGTGGAATTACGCTTTTTTTAAATTCAATTCTGATGGTTTCTGAGATTTGTCAAGGTTAAGACTAAGTGTTGGGCCCCGTGATAAAGGTTTTAAAATCAATTTTTTTTTAAACCTAGGCTCATGTCTGCCTACCTTCTAACACCTTAATGTAAATCTTGCTTTAAAAAAGAAACTTACAGCAATATTACTTGTTAATAAAAAGGGGGTGAAATGATGCCACGAAGACAAATTTATGGGCATATTCATTTTTTTCGTAAGGCAATGGCATTTTATTAACAAACACTGCCTGAATATTTAACCATCACGTGCATCTAGTTAAACTACTCCACTCTTATTTGTAAGGTCGTTATCTTGAAAATGGCATGAGGGGCTGATATCATACTTTGAATTATTTTTCCTCTAGTCAACCGGTTTAGTGTAACTAGATGAGATATGATACATTTTGTTAGGAAATTACAAAACATACTTTGCTTAAACAAAAACCAACAAAAAAACGTAGTCATGCCACGTATACAAATTAAGTTTATACCGTTTAAGTGCGTGTCACGACAAAACGACTACAATATCTACAAAAACAATAGCATTTTATTACAATCCAATCCATACAAAATTAAAGATATATATACAGAGATTCACTAATTTCCTCGTGATATTATCAATCATACCATCCATCAAGCCACTAACCGATTCATACAGTTATTCATATACACAAAGCATGCTACATGTAACTCGGTAGATAAGATAAACGTGATAACTGTTGGTTTAAACCAGTAGCCATTTCTCTCTTCTATTAAAGCAGATAAGGTATTTCATTTAATTGGACGATTGCCGATTTCACGTGCGTCAAATCAACGACCGCCACAAAGACCTTATTCCTTTGGTTCCTTTTTTTTTCACTCGCTTTATCAGAGTTTGATGATAAACATGGCGCATACTGGTTGACATACGTGGGAATTTATTTCTTCGTGTGGGTCATTTTTTTTTTTTTTTTTTGTATTTTCAGAGGTCACTATTGTAAAGCATTTTGTATAATCCAAATTATTAACTCTCACTGAATCGATGAGAAATTATCGGGAACAATCATGTTTCTACATATAAATATATTATCTTGGCCAAAGCAAATCAGTTTCAACCTTTGACTAAACACATACATGTAGTATGTTAGCGTTAGTTCAGTTATACTTTACAATAAGTAATAAATGGAAATGATATTCCAGAAATACCGTCTTCCAGGTTTTGTTTAGAACCATTATGCCGGAAAAATGTCATACTTTTTCCCTTAACCTAGCTAGGTCACAGCAAATTACCGCCAACAACATAAGCAAAATATAATGTAACTTTATAAACTGGAGAGTAAGGCTAAAATTTCATGAAATACGAAATAAGTCTTCGAGACTTAGGTTGAGTCCATTCTTTCTTTTACTTTAGCCAAACTACACGAATAACATGCCTCTACCTTTTCCATTTCTCATTCTTTTTAAATATACTACACGCATAATAAATATGACATTCATTCCTAACGTTCAAAAAAACACACTGAAATTGACGCTTCACCATATATGTTAATAGAACTTTGTTCGATTTCATTACACGTAACAACACATCATTTGTTCCCTTCACTCACAACACAGAATCACTCGCATTACATGATAATGCAGAGGACCTTATCTTCATTCATTTTAATCTGACCGTGGTACAGAATTTCTCGGGTACCCCGAGGGTCTACCACTGGTAGTGCCATATAAATCTGTCCGAGTAAAAAACTGTAAATCTGCCTACTGATATCTAAACTGCAAATTAAATGACGAGAACCATCCTATTTTCCACGTGATAGCTAGTCAAAGCAAACATTGTAAATTATAATTTCTCTGGCTGTAGCGCACGAAGATCGTACGGAATATTGGCAAAGTGCGCTCCACGCCTTTCTCGGGGGCAGAACCTGCAAGGCATTGCTGTTAATGGTCTATAGCTTTAACTCAGGATAATGTTTTAATTTCCTTAGCGGTAGTCAAACTCACAGACTGAAAACAATGTAAATTTATTAACATAAATTAACTTTTAATTACAATCTTAAATGAATCTGAAATGTACCCTGAAAGAACTTATTCTATATTTTCTTTTATACATATCAAATCCACCAATAAAGATTCAGTGCTTCATATAACAGGGATCATTATCATTTAAAAATGGAACGAACAAGCCTTCTGAAAGTCAGGGTGACGTAACGCCTCGTTCCCTCGCCGTATCAGCATTTATCGATACCTGGGGCATTCAGGTAACTCAAAATATTTGCCTAAAATACCGTTGTGTGGGTCTGCCGCACACACAGATATCTGATAAAACTGTGATTATTGTGATCAATCAGTGCGATTATCTTTAGAGGGGTATGATAACGATTTGATTTGATTAGGGCGCAGGCTATATAGCAGTCTAGACAAACTGGCAGCATCAGCATGACCCCCCCTTCCCCTAGTAAAAATGCTCTGGTGGTGCTTAAGTCATTTATTAATATATATGTCGCTTTGTTAACGTAGTAGCAATCTAGGGATTGCACTTGAAAAAAATTCTTTTTAGCCTCTTCAACAATTCTTTCCCAATAAGAAAAATACAGAACCAGTGATATGAGCGACCGCTTTATGATTCTTCCATAAACGTTCTTTTGAGACTTTTTTCCTCTAAAAAAGATCGTCTCACCCTATATAGAGGGATTATCTACATTCTCTACCGTACGATGTCTGCAGCAAAGGAAGCAAGGGGAATGCAGCGTTTTACTGATAAAATAGGGTGGACCATTTATACGCCACAGCACCAGTTTAAAAATTAGGCAGTAGCACAAAATATTTCACCACAGTAACGTTTAGTGCTCTGCAGTGAGATCGCACACACACACACACACACACACACACACACACACAGGCATGCATATACTGGATAATTTGAACCAATTTAATCACTTTCACTGATAGCGCAGACGGAAGAATAGTTCTAGGTTCTCATGTGAACTCCGTCACTTCGTCTCATTTACCCTGAAATTTGTTGTCGATATGGGTTTGTCCATGTCAAAATAACAACGCGCACCACTCTCAATCATGTACCAAATACAAATAATCACTAGTTCTTCACACGTAGACGTTTCTGCGGAATATAAGTTTTCCGAGGACAAAAATGCCTACATCTCAGCTAAAAGTGAATCCTGCATCCGGTCTAAAAAATAAATAAATAAATAAATAAATAAATAAATGCGTACATTACACCGCTACATCCTGTGAGGATTTGTCGCTGTGAAATGCATCGGAATAATGTCATCATATATAGCACTTCCACAGGTTGTTGACGCATCGTTTTTCGTATCCGGTGAGGCAGTAACGAATGCCCCATTTTGATGACCAACGTCCGCTCCCTCTCTTGTGTTAATGGGTAATAACATATCACCCGACGAATCTGTTGTAAATACTGCTTCTTTCTCCTCGTTTGTCTCTTTGTCTGCTGTACTGATTGTCGATTGCTTAACACGCCAAGTGCACATTGAATAAAAAAGTGTTTTCGTCGCATGACAGCAACGCTGTGGTGCTGTCTTAATTCGGTAGGAATGTCGCCTGCTCCTTAGCCTTTCCTCAACCTCCTGGAATTTGGATAATATGTGAACCTTTATAGGAATTGCTTCTCTGCTCTCGTCTTCTAGACGATGAGAAATGTTTCGTTTTAAACGTCTGTTTCTTCTTATGATGAAAAATGCAGCGACTGACACGCACGCACACGCTCCTAACAGTACCACTACGATTGCCCACACTGGTATCGTGATTGTTGAGGCTCCCTTTGAACCGTCGGGGTAGGGGTAGGTCTGACAATCGCTGTAATCCTGCAGGAAAATCTGAGAACCTTTCAGCGGAGCTGGGGAGCTACAGGCATACTCCGCTGGGGACGGCCACAATTCGTCTTTTCCTTCAGCAGAACTTGAATTCAACCAAAATACAAACGATGCCAAATCGCAGTTGCATTCAAATGGATTATCACGAGCGTCAAAGGTCCTGAGACGGTGCAGTTTGTCTAAAGCGACTCCGCCAATTGTAGCGATGAGATTATGGGATATGTTCAGGTGTTGCAAACCCTGGATCTTAGAGCTGACAATCGCTTGAGGAAAAGTCTTTAATTTATTTACACCTAGATTTAATATAGTAAGATTGTTGGTGCCAGTGAAAGCGTGATCATCAAAGTATTCTATCTTATTGTTTTGTAACCGCAGAGCTTTCAAATGTGCCAGATTTCTGAATGTCGAACTTATTAGTTGCAGTTGATTACCTGCAAGATTAATGGATTTAAGATTTTTAGTCTCCGTAAATACGTCATCCGACAGGCTGCGTATCGTGCTTGATTGTAGGTCAAGGACGGTCAAGTTCTCTAGTCCTTGTATCATTTCTTTGGTCAAACTATCCACGTAAACCTCGGGCAAAATTAGGCTCTTCAGATTATGAAGATCTTTGAAGGATCCATCCTCGATGGACGCAAGAGAGTTATACCCACAGTCTAAAAACTCCAGACTTTGAAGACCGTGGAATGAATCTTTTGTCAGATATTTCAGATCGTTTTCATTGAGCAGTAACGTTTTCAGTTTACGCAGGTAACGAAGAGCTGACGAAGGAGAAAGATCATGAATCAGATTGTTAGATAAATCCAAGTATTCCAAAGACCGAAGTCTGCCAAGCGCTGTAGGAATGTCCCTGAGGCGAGCAGCACGAAGATTGAGCGATTTTAAGGATCGCAAGCCATGGAAAGTTCGGTCATTTATTGACTCTAAGTAGAAACTGAAGGATAAATCCAAGTGCTCTAAAGTTGAAACGCAGGTGAAAACTCCAGCTCTGAGCGACTTGACAAAGTTATGAGCCACAGATAAATTTTTAATTTGCGTTGATTGCAAGTTGCAGAAAGTCGATGGCGTTAGATAGGTCAGTTTGTCGTGAAAATTACGAAGAGATAACGACTTGATTTGGGAATCACGGAGACCGTAGAGAGAGAGGGCTATTTCCGATTCTGAGAGAGCGTTCTGGTCAAGAATAACAGTTTCTAGCGTCTCTATTTCCTTGAATGCGTACGCCTGAATGTAGGAAATCCCATTGTTCGTCAAATTCAGTAAACGTAATCTGGTTTCTTTCAAACCAATGTGAAATTTTATGTCAATTGTTTTAATTTTGCTTCCTGTTAGAGAAAGATGCTCTAAATTTCTTAAAGTTGTAAATACTCTGAAATCCGCCCGGACCATGTGCGGTGAATTGTTCAAATACACCGCTCTCAGTGACGTAAGATTCGTAAACACGTCAGGAAGTGACGTCAAGTTGTTGCCCGACAAATCAAGAACTTCCAGGGACTGCAAGCCTCGGAAAGCCGTAGGCGAAATATAGCTTAACCTGTTATTGGCTAAAATGAGGCGCCGTAAATTTGTGTATTTCTGTGTTGAAAAATCGACAGGTGGGTCGATATCAGTTTTGGCAAATGGCATATCACGTCTACCTAAAGATGTGATTGAATTATCGCTCAAATCTAAGGTGGAGATGTCGTTCGGCAAATCCCCTGGCGGTGAGGTGAGTCCCCGTCTTTCACAGCGTGCATATTGCCCATCCGCTGTGCTGACAACCTCACAAATTTGGTTCCCTGAACTCAAGCTGAAAAGCACGGCAGTGACCAGAACAACACAGAGGCTGAGAGAATTCATACTAAATTGCAGCATCTTGACGACGGCTTAATACCATCCCTGTAATTAACATAAAGCAAAATTATTTAATGCCTTTTTGAGAGCTGAACGTTTTGATATAGATGCCGTAAAACACAAAATGGCCAAAATTACAAACGTCCTATTAATATATTTAAATATCACAAGTGATGATGACTACAAATCTAAAACAGAGTTAAAAAGCAGCATGAATATTTAAATATTAAATTTATGTTAAAATCACAATAAAGAATCCACTGCAACGCCACATTCGGAACAGTAGTAACCTCTTTGAGTTTGACAATGGACTGAAACGTATATGCATACTTGCTGAGACTAACTGATGGTTAGAGCCACGTCCAAATGAGGTGTTGGTCCATTTACTCAAGGGAACTGTTCCAATAATGACAAAGTGTGAATTATTACATAAATTACTTTACTTCTCAGACCATAATAACTCTAAAGTTAACGAATAGAAACTCTCTGACGAACCTGCTCCAGTTTGCGGTCGCTCAAAGAAAACCTCAAAATAAAGATATATCCAAGTTTTAGTCGAAAATTGAGTTAAAAGACTGTGAAAGAAGCCCATCGCCAAAAATCTCAATGGCAAGAAGACTGCTATTTTGACAACAGGCCAATTAAATTTTATTGAATCCCACCTAAAGTTACTTTTGTTTTCATGCCAAATGTTAATTAATTGAATTTTTTGTTTTACCGTAATTACAGAATATTGCGTTGTTTGTTATCAACCACCCTTACTCACCATCAATCATGCTTAATGCTATGTCAAATGGTCTTCAAGTGGTTAAACACTGGTTGAAAAGTACTTCAGCGTCAACTCACGTTGTTCAACATTTGTTCTTTTATACACACGGTCTTATCTTGACAATGTACGTGGGCCTGTATCACCCCAGCTGCAGTATGCGAAGAGAAGGGATGTCCAAATTTGATCAAAACTTCACATGTCATGCCCTTCCATGTTAAATTCAGATAAAACAGAACGGCGAGGAGGCAAAGGGGTCAAATGAATCATATGGGTGCTGGGTAACGATAATTGCCATGTGACATTGCGTTTGCGTTGGGGATCAATTAAAGGTTCGTTTTTTTATCTCAAAAATGTGGCTATGTGACCGAGGTGATTCAAACAAATATGACAAATATTCTGAATCGTTCGAACTTAAGTTAACATGATTATTTATCAGTCGGCTTTATACATTTATCTGTCATGTACCTACATCACGTGTACGGATCATATTAATGAATTTTATTAGATAATTCTAAAATTCCTATTGAGAGGGTACATCAAGTAGAATACCACGTACATATTAACAGCCGTCCTGTAAACTCAGTATTTCAGATTTTTTATGTTAAATCATCGATATTTGCCGTCAATCGATGTATTTTATAAAACAACACCAAACAATGTAATAAAATTTAGGCCGCGCGTGACGCGTCTCCCCTATGAGAGCCCAGAGCCAATTTGTGTTTGTCACGTGGTTTGGACCAGAGCCAAACGTTGTCAACACTATTTACACCTCGACTGCCTAATGAAACGGAAATGCAAAGTAAATGCTAATCGAAATGTCCATGATGTCCATCCTGTTATTCATTCTAGAGAGCGGAGAAAATAATTTGTGGAATATATATATATATATATGAAAAGATGTATATAAATGTGGAAGAAATGAACTGAGCCGCACTTTGATTCAAGTGAGCAGTTTGCAGGAGTGCTATATGTTAAAGCACGTGCTGCAGTTGACTCAGACTGTTCCTTTCATCAAATTTGAGAAAAATCCTTTTCTGGCTAGGTGGAACTTACATCAACAACAGGGAAGAATTGTTATTGTATGACGGATAGCTTCGTTTAGTCATACCAAACTGCAACAGATATTACTAATTCAAATACTGGGAATCCGCGTCCAAATCTCTCTAGGTTGCTAACATTTTATGGTTGAAAAGCACATTAATTTAAGGACAGTGCAAATCATGATCTGAAAACAATAGGAATCGAGCGTTGAGTAACGCCCCCCCCCCTCACCCAAAGGAGCGCACCCGCAACTAAGCATATTTCAATCACACTGTACTCAGATGAAATTTCCCTGTGATTATCAGGGGCTCTAACATTAGGATCACTACGTCAGAATGTCAGAAAATGCGACAGAGGTCACTGTGAGTAATGTACTGTGGAGCAAATCGTACTGGCAGTGGGGGAGAGGTGGTTATTGCCAAATTTTCGAAAAAAAAGACTTCACTCTTCCTTGCACGTACGTATATGTACAAATGCAGGTGTGAATCGGGGGGGGGGGGGGGGGGGGGGGAAAGGGGGCCCCCCAACCCCCACTTTAAACGGGGACCCCCCAAAACCGGGGGTTTT